TAAACGAGTGTCAGTAACTTTCGACCTAGATGGGCAAATGAGAAATCTCGTGGCTCCATGCTGAGAGCATTAGACTTATGATCAAGAAGATCGCGACTTCACACCTCGGGTTGTGCACCATTTGGAGTTGAATTTGACTGGCTGATGACGGCTAGTGAGCCAGAAAGGTTCATTCTACTATTCTAAGTCTTTGCCAGCAATACTATCTCCTTGTATAATTCGGTACTCAGAAACGCCCCACATGGATAATATAGAAGATTAGATAAAAATGCTCCTTTTAGGTACGAAATATCCCATCCAAACAAATATCCCAAATATCTTATAATCCTACTTGAAAAATATTATTTAAAGAAGAAACATAGAAAGATGTATATATTTTCGGTACGATTTTTGAATTGTCGCAGAAGAGGATATGGGAAAGACCAGCAAAAAACTATTTAGATTTGATCAGAAATTTCCAATTCTTATTGTCCCAGGATCGCAAGGAGGTACTTGCGGTAGTCACCAGATGTGTCTCCTTCGATCATTTGTTCGAGACTTTTTTCGTATGTGCTGTCGAACGTATGCCTAATGATGGCCAAATCAACCTGAAATAAAAATAAGTCTCGACTAAGTTGTTTTCTCATATGTATAAGCTCACTTAAACCTGCTCTTAAATTTCAACGTTCATACCTCAGAGTGGGCGATGATCATTCGAACAAGGTTGTCATCATGAGTGCCGAGGCCTTTCATGGTCTTGTAGAGAATCTCAGCATAGGTCTTATTCCTGTTGAGAGCCGTCTTTACTAAAAAAAATTAACTTAGATGTTGGTACTGCGTGGACCAAATATAGCTGAGAATGGTATAATCATATTAAGCTGGGAACTCACCAATCGTCTGAAGAGCATCCCGATAGTCACCGGACGTTTCCTTGCCAATGGCAGTAATCAGATCGTGACCAACCGCCTTGGAATTGCACAAAACAACATTAGGTCATTCGGAACTAATGCCTCTGGGTTTTACAAATTTAAAGTGTAGGTTCCATCATACCTGATTGTAGATATCGTTTATCTTGGTAATGTCTTTCCAGCTGCGTGAGACAAGAATCCGCGTAAAGGTGGATTCGTCCGTTCCCAATTTCCTGAAAATTGAAACTCGCTTTATTGATAAGGATTTTTTTTAAACCAAAGCAGACACGCATCATTGCCGCTTTAGAAGAACGTAAGGAAATCGGCATTAACATTTAATGTTTAACCTCTAATTTCCATCAGTATACATCACCTATTGCCTATAAGCCTAACCGTAGATTACCATAAGATAATTAACAACTTATTTGGTGTAGTTTATTATTTAATTTAGGTAGGTTGTCAGCCTATTATTTGTTTCGTTTTGTTTTAATTTTGCTATATTTTCAGGCAGTTGACTTTAGTTTAGTGTAGTTTAGTATCTTAATTCTCGGTTTCTTATTAATCTCTTCTAGTTTTAGTTTGCTTAAGTTATTGTATTATGTAACTAAGGTGTTGCTTAAAAGGAATCCTTACCGCCTGTTTTCTGTAAGGAAATTAAAGTTTCCCTCCAAAATATTCGAAATAGCCAATCCGATTTAGTTTGAATTTAAGTCGACTTACGCTTCACCGCCCTTGTAGAGCGCCTCACAGTCTTCGCGAATTTTACCCTCGTCCACATCTCCTCCTCTTTGACCCTGTAGGAGAGCAATTAGCACCTTCTCGAAGTCCCCGCTAGTATCCTTCTTGACATCGAGCTCCAAGTTCCTCCGAAGTGCTGAAGTAATGGCAAAATGCAGTTTTCAGATGTTCTACTTACTTCAATTTTCTTTAAATAAGCATAGAGAACGCCAAAGTTCCTATATGCTTACCATTTTGTTTTTCTTCGTGGAGTACTAGAAGGCATAGAAGCGTTAAGTCAGTACA